CTAAAAATATGAACGTTTCATCCTCCCCTGACTGGAGGAGTGAAAAGATGCACAGCAAGCGTTTTATTTGTGGACGGAAATGACAGGAAACGTGGGTTTAGAGGTGGGGAGCGCATGAAGCGGTGGGAGAATGAGAGACAAATATGTCCGTGTTAAAAGTCTCTTATATACACAAAAAACACAATATAAACACACTATCTTGGACCGATACATGACAGGATACCACAGAACAGCGCTACGCCCTTTGTTGTCCTGCCGGGCAATTGCTTTGCAACACTCTCCAGGAGACGGAGAAGTATGAGAGCAAAACGCTTCCGTCAATCCGTGCGTGTCTGTCCCTTGCGGAGCTGACGGAGAAGCATAAACCAGGCTTTAGAAGTGAAGAAAATGCTTATAAAACCAGTGGTAGTGAAGTGGTGGAAAAGCAGTGATGAATACACCAATGTGTTGGGACTAGCCTGTGTTGCATAAGCTTTGGAGGTACAGATCAGTTGCTCAGTGGATGTAAATGCGTGGGAAGTATTTGCTTGTTAAGCAAATATAATAACAGCTTTTTGAGCTGCAAACATTTTGACAGTTATAATGACATAGCTCAATGGGTCTGAGAAAGAAAGCAATTTTTTTTATTTCAAATAATGCTATTATCTTCAATATTTAATTTGAAAGAAAACCAACCCTTTCTAAACTATGAAAAAAAAAGAAAATGGTAACTTTTCACCAACTTCAAACCATTTAATTTAAGTGGTGCACACTGGTTTCATGGCTTTCATGTTGTGAAAGTTTGTTTGCTGTTATTTTTTTTATAAGTTTTACAGTGAATGACTTTTTTTAAAATCTGTATATGCTATAAAAATGATGGTAATTCCCAATGTAAAGAAATTGGTGTGTAATGTGTTCTAACAGATGAAGCTAGGTGGATTCAGTTTGAGTAAAAAAAAAAATCACAAAATTATGGAGGCCTTCAAAGTATTCTGACCATCGACCCTTGATGTCTTGACTTGAGGTCAGCAGTACATCGTCCCCACCATAAATGGTGCTAATAGTGCACACACCCTCACACGGTAGACCAGAATCACCTTGAAGCTGTAAGAAGTCCTTCTCCATGGCCTCTTCAGGTCTCATTGTCATTGTCCATGTTAGAGTTGAAGTCCCCCTACAGAACAAAGCACTTTTCTCCAACACCCACATAGGGTTAATCACAGTTAAACTCCAACGTACATGCCCCAGACCTATACGTACCACACCACAAACATAACATTTGCCTGGAAGGGAATGTACAGTACATCCGCAAAAATTATGGTTGGTAGGGGAACAATCTGGTGCCCCAGATGTCGAAGCTACTGTCTAATACTGTCAGGCTGCACTTGTGTCCTTGCAACTGATTCTGACCTCTGGTGGTTTCCTGGCAAGGGTCTATGGGGCACCGTGACAATCAAAGACGAACTCATGGTGGCTACTCCAGAGCTGCTCCATGACAGAAGACATTCCTGACTGTAATACAGAAGCTTAGCCTCGCAAGCCATCCTCTACAGCAGATGTCACCAACTCCAGTCCTCGAGGGCTACCTTCCTGCTAGTTTTCTATGTTTCCTGCTCCACCACACCTGAAAGGAGTAATTTAATCCTCCTCTTACCACTTTTAACTCTGCACAGGCCTGTTAATTACTCATTTAACTCAATCAGCTGAGTAGGATCAAAGAAACAGCTAACTTGTGCTGGATGGTAGCCCTCGAGGACTGGCGTTGGTAACCCTTGCGCTACAGTCAATACATAGTCTGGCCATGACCCATAGAAAAAGCCTGGTCATGGGGCGGAATCTATGGTTGTCCTTCAAACTGTCTCTACATGCTGTTGGCCAACTAACAGCATGACATACTCAACACTATGGATGAGATATGATGCACTGTTCAAGAAGATGCCAATATATAATTTTTCTAAGTAAATGACTTAAGTACCTGAATCTACTCTTGACTCAAAGAAAAGCACACGTCTAAATAGTCCAGAGTTGATGCCAAAGCCATTTCAAATGAGCCATCACATCATCCCGCCCATCAAACTGAGAGTACTGTGATTGGCATAACACAAAATTGGGCCAATGGTAGAACTGATTAGGCTCAAACAGAACATGACTAGAATGACATGCAGAGCAAAATCAGCAGGAGGAAGAGACCAGTCAAAACTTAGGTGAGTCTTCCTCGTGATTCTTTTTCAGAAATCGTTTGTTGTTATATGTCATATAGGAGACACACACACACAGTGATTTTGAGAAGTGAAAAAAAGTTTGCAGGATTTACAGAAAGTGCGCAATAATTGTTTAAACAATACATTTGGGCTCTGTTGTCATTTTATTGATTCCAAAACCTTTAGAACTAATTATTGGAACTCAAAATTGGTTTGGTAAGCTCAGTGACTCTTGACCCCCATACTCCGGTGAATCCAGTTGTGAGAGAGTATTTAAGGGGGTTTATTGTAAGTTTCCCTCCTCTTTGAATATTCTCTGAACAGTCAGAGTCAACCCACAGACCAGCACCAAAGGCCTACAACATCATGTTGCTGCAGATGGAGTCACTGTGCATCGTTCAACTATTCAACGCACTTTACACAAGGATGCAGAAAAAGGCTTTTCTCCACCCACAGCACAAACAGAGCTGCTTGAGGTGTGCTAAAGCACATTTGGACAAGCCAGCTTCATTCTGGAATAAGGTGCTGTTGTGGACTGATGAAACAAAAACTGAGTTATTTGGCAAGAACATGGAGCGTTATGCTTGGAGGAAAAGTAGCACAGTATTCCAAGAAAAATACCTGCTACCTACAGTAAAACATGGTGGTGGTTCCATCATGTTGTGAGGCTGTGTGGCCAGTGCAGGTACTGGGAATTTTGTTAAAGTTGAGGAACGCATGAATTTCATTTTTCCGTTTAGCTTTCACATAACTTGCTTTTTATTGCAATCAAAGCCACGCTCATTAAGTTTTTTTGACAAGCCGCTCCGAAAGGGGTCTGTCTTCCACAGTCTCTGGTGATCTGAGCTCCGGCTCTAACAGAGAGAAGCTCCTGGAGCTCTGCATCGCTCCAGTTTATAATCTCAGCTGGCTCTGTTTACAGAAAAAAAACCTTTACTGCCTGTGTTTACTTTCATTTTCAATATAGTTGACGGCCGGAGCCCGGCAGTAACTACCCATGTGATCATGACACCTCCCTCTGTTACGCCAAGACATATAATGCATCCACAAGTACGACGCTGTCGTAATATTACTACCAAGCATGGTAGTATGAATGCCGCAAATTTCTGCAACGCCATGCTGCTATGGCGCGTTCATATGACACACTGTGACGGTAGATTTATGCTGATTTGCCAGTATGGTGTGCCTTCTGAAAAGAGCAAGCGAGAGCTGTCCATGCTCAAAAGCATCAAACCTGAATCAACTAGAGATGTTTTGTAAAGAAGAATGGTCCAAAATACCTTCAACAGAATCCAGACCGTCATTGGAAGCTATAGGAAGCATTTAGTGGCTGTTATTTCTGCACAAGGAGGATCTACTAAATTTTGGGTTCATTATTATTTTTTGTGCTGCCCAAATTTATGCACCTGCTTAAAACAATTATTGCACATTTTCTGTAAATCCTGTAAACTTTGTTTCACTTTTGGAATATCACAGTGTGTCCTGTATGTGATATATTTAACTCAAGTGTTTTTATCGTAAAACCCAACAATTTATACAGGAAAATCCTGAAGGTTTTGCATATACCAGGGGCGGACAACCTTCCCTGAGGGCTGCTATCTAGCATGTTTTAGTTGTGTCCCTGCTCCAGCACACTTGGTTTGCCTGTTGAGCAGCGTTTGGAGCTCTGCAGAAGCTAGTTAATTACCTGCTGGTAAAATCAGGTGTTTTAAAGCTGAAAAAAACAGAAAAACCCTAAAACATGCTGAACAGCTGTTCACCCTTGGTATTTACAATTATATGCTGATGTGTGACCAAGTCACTGCTTTGCAAGTCACAAGACTTTCCAGTCAAGTCTCAAGTCAAGTCTAAGTCAAATACAATCAAGTCCAAGTCGAGTCCAAAGTCAATGATGTGGAAGTCCAAGTCAAGTCCAATTCCTTAACTATGAATTTTCAAGTCATAATCAAGTCATCTGTCCAACTTCAATTTAATGACGGTGATAATAAATAAATTCCAGAAATAAAGCTTCTTAAAGCTTCATTTATTTGCTCAAACAAGCAGAAAGTGCTGATTGATTATAAACAAAGTGCTGCTGCAGTTAGCAGTAAATCAAGCCCACATTTTTGTCCATGTCGAGCCACCTTTGTGCTAAAATATCAAATTTGCTCAATTCATCAAGTCAACAGATGCAAGTCAATTCAAGTCGCAAGTCATTGGCATTCAAATCCGAGTCAAGTGGTAAGTCTTTATAGATTTTCTCAAGTCAAGTCAGAAGTCATTAAAATAATGACTCAAGTCTGACTCAAGTCCAAGTCAGGTGACTCGAGTCCACGCCTCTGATTATATGAATCTTTAATTGCAAGCTGCCATCGTAAAACTGTGGCAACAAACATTGTTTTTATTAATAACTGAAAGAGACCAACAGAAAGTCCAGAACAATCCAGTCAAACCCAGTCATGTGATTTCAGCTCTAGCTCATCCTGGTCTGTTATCACTGAAATCGAATTTGTGAATTTTGCACTAACGTCAAAGACGTGTTCAAACTAATCACTGCGCGATTTATTTCTTGTTTCCCTTTTTGTGTTGGAGTATAGGCTATGCATGAATCAAATCCTTTAAGTATGGCTTAGTTCACCCGAGTGTGACACTTCTCCTAGCACATAAGAACACGAGTCTGTCTCCACCTAACTGAACAAATCCTTCAGATTAGTGCAATCAATATGACCAGCAGAATTATTAGGCACCATGTAAGACTGAACAGGGAGGGAGTGGGCTGGTCCTCATTTGGTATAAAGGGACGAGAAACCGATGGAAGAACAATTCTCCAGACTTCAAGAATGTATAAAACAGCTAACATATTTTTTATTTGCTCTTGATTAAATTATCGCAACCAATATATTCGTAGAATAGTCAAAGAAATGTTCAGAAAAGAAAAAAAGGAACAACTACTTTATATTGCCATAGAATATAACAACTCATATTATAATTATTGTATGAAACAATCTCAAATAACCAAAATTCATTGGTTCTAAGAAAACAATGACAATACCTTTTGTGTAAATTCAAAACATTATCCACTTGCTTAAATATTATGGTCATCTATTTCATTTAAAGCTCCAAAAAAAGAACATTGTTTAATGTATGCTGAAGTTCCGCCATTTCTGTGATGATGCGCTCCTTTGTGAGGGTTAGATTCATGACATCAGTCCATTAGTGGGGTCGTAAGGCCAACCATCCCTTCGTCTATAAGGAGGGGAACAAAAAAAAAAAATCCCAGCTCTGGAACACGTGGACGTCTTGTGGATGCTAACAGAAACTCTAGAGAACAAGTCACCATCATGTTTAGGTTTATACATAAGTAATGGAAGCTGTACAGATATTATTGTAACAAACAATAAAAACAAAGCTTCATTAGAAAAAAACAATTCCTGACCCTCTTAAATAAAACATGACAAATAAATATTGAAGATGTTTTCAAAGCAGTGTGTCCTTTTGCCCTTTGATCAGAGCTTTTGAACTGCATCGTAGCCAGAAAGAACAAAAAGCCCCACTCCGGATCAACATACCATGTTGGTGAGTGAGCAACAAACCACTATGTCATCGCCTTTCATCTATGGTAATTTGATTATTTTCTCTTTATCTAAATGGGTGGTCATGCAAGTACAAAAATTCCAGTCAGGTATACTTTTAGCTTGGTAGTAAAGGTTGCTCTACTGACCAGTTCTCTCGTTAAGGTTGACTAGTTTCCAGTTTTCTACTGTGAGTTGAGGAGCTAGCTGTAGAAACCAGTTTGGGATAGGGTCAAGACGAATCGGACATTTTTCCAGGTATTTGTGCTTTCCCATTACAGGTTTTGCCATTTTTGGAAATCAGCAGGTTACATTTCTGTGGGTAAAACCAGATAGCTAGTCGTATAGTTGTATTTCAGGAGGTTGACTAGATGTTTCAAAGTGGTATAGTGTTCCAAAACCATTGCTGATAACCTCTTTACCACCTAGTCAACAAGTAGATTCAGAAAGCTGAACTACATTCAGAATGACATCTGACACCTTTGCCTGAATAACTGATAACTGGTTTTAATAACAGCTGTGACTTTGTTGTGCTAGGAGATACGATCTGACCACTTTCTGGACATCGAGAACTCATCTCTGCACATTCTCCTTAATGCGGGTTCATTCTTCTCTGTTCTTTACTCTATGCATCTGCCTACTGCATCAGTACGACAAGTCAGGCCACTTTTTAAGACCAGAAGGCATGTTGTCAGTAGGATTATTTTTCCAATGGTCAGACCTCAGATATCCCAGCTGGTTTGGTTTACCAGCTACTGGTCCCAAAGCAGAATGTGACTGTTGGTATATTTTTTCTGGATCCAGTTAACCAGAAGAGTATGATGCCACGTTTAATCTACCCTGACAAAGATCCCAGCATGGCATGAAGTTCTCCAGAAGCAGTCTTCTCTGAAAACGCATCCAACACCAGCGCAGTCTGTACAAAGTCCAAAAACTCAACGAAAACCAGCAGATTGACCAATCGAGCCAGCACTGTTCCTCAAAGAGCGCCAGTTGAGCAGTCAGTTTACCAGATGTCAGAGCTTAGTTCTCTGCTGGTGAGTGGTACGAAGGTGCTGTTCAGGTGGAGGTCTGGCTTCTTCCCAAGCGTACTGCTCTGAGGCCCCTGGGAAACACAGAACCACAAGAATGAGACGAATTAGTGCTAACGCAAACCTACAAGAACCTGTGTTTTAACAACAATAATACTATCTCCCAGTCTGTTAGAATAAATACACACTAGGCTGGATAAAATGCACATATTAGATGCTTTTTCATACTGTCTTTTATTCAAACAGACCTCTTGTTCCCCAGTGAACTGCTCTGAACCCCTGGGGAGAAAAGAGGGCTTTCATTTTTATTTGGTATAAACTCTGATTACATGCAAATAACAACGGTTCGGACATGTAAGGAAACAATGTGCTGTGCAGATACCTGCAGACTATCTAGAGACAAAATAAAAATCCCAGATTGCACAGCTGTTTTCCCCACCTGACCATTCAGCAGCGTCATGGGGATGTTGCAGTACACATGGCGTCCCGTGGGACCCAGAGTGGCGAACCGCACCGTAGAGACTGGTGGAAGGGGAGGCGACATGGAGGAAGGCTGTGGAGGGAGCTGGAACTCATAGCTGCGGCAGAAATGGCGCATTTGGGCTGCTGTAGCAGTGTGACCGCCTCCCAGTGGCAAGGTCATCTGGTTGTAGTCTGGGATCTCCATTGCCAAGGCAACCTGTAATGAAAAGAGCCCAATGATGTTTAGATAGTGATGTTCCATTAGCCAAGGCAGCACCTTAAGAAATTAGATATAAAATATGAATTTATTTAATTTATTAAAACCACATCACCCAAAAGCAGCGGTTCCTAACCTGGGGTCCATGACGCCCCTATGGGGTTCCCACAAGATTCCAGGGGATCTCCACAATTTAGTCAGTGCTTAGGTTACTATGATTATATTCGTAAAATTTACATTTATAAAGTATCAGTCACACATCCGATTGTATATTTACAAGTCTTGTAGAGTTTAACTCTTTATGCCTGTATAATCGTTGTAATTAATCACTTTTAAAGGGATCCTATGTAGTTTGGGCTTGCTTTTAGCACCCCCTAATGTCAGTTTTTAAAACCAAACCAAAAGTGAAACTCATCTCCTTGCTGTGTAGTTCATCATTTTAACACCTTAATCTTACAGCTGAAATGTCTCCTTAGCCTTCACTATATGGAACTAGGATTGGGACAATATTACATTTAACTTGTACCAAGTTATGTAACTTGTAACATGTTTTGTAACTGACTTTTGTTTTGTAGCATGTAATTCACATTTTGTAACACGAAACTTTTATTTTGTAACAGGCACATTAGTTTTGTGGCATATAACTTCGGTACGTAACATGAAACTTTTATTTAGTAACTTGCAGAAAAATAAATCAATGTACAAGTTTCAAATCACAACTTTCAAAACACAAATCTCAGCCTACAGTTACAAAAGTCAAGTCTACAAGTACAAACCATTTTGTCCCAATTCTAGCTTGTGTCCAACAGGAATTGTCTTCGACAGGAATCCAAGACTCATGATTGGCTGGTCAGATGAAGCCTGTCATTGTTTCTTTGGAAGGAAGCTAGAATTGGGACAAAATGTTTTGTACTTGTAGACTTGAGTTTTGTAACTGCAGACTGAGATGTGTGTTTTGAGAGTTGTGATTTGAAACTTGTACATTGATTGTTTTCTGCAAGTTACAAAATGAAAGTTTCATGTTATGCACCAAATGTTACGTGTTACAAAACAAAAGTTATGTTTTGCAAAACATGTTACAGGTTACAAAGCTTGGTACAAGTTACATGTAATATTGTCCCGATTCTAGTTCCATATTTACTAGGAGCGGTTCATCACTAAATCAAACAAATTAGCTGTGTTCATGATCTAAAACATGCAGGAAATGTGCTAGCAGACTACACAGCTGTCATGTCCGCTCCACTTTTAGTAAGTCCAACAGGGGGCGGCCCACCACTCTAAAGTTGCAAGTGCAATATTCTGGCCAGGGTGCGGTGGGGGTCTGAGTGAAATTTCATTAGCCCTGTAAAGGGTCATTTTAGCTCATACTGGCTCAAGAAAATGATTTAAAAACATGAAAAATTTGCATTGCATGATTTTAATGTGTGTGTATATGGGAATGAGTAGGAGTTATGAGGTCCTGGCTTGTCTTAGACACAGGCAAGGCAGTCATTGTGGAAAAAAGGTTGGAGACTACTGCGACTAGGCTAATAGACAAAAATAATCTAGTTCATCATTTTATTCAGAGATAAGCTTTACTACACCCACAGGTAAGCATTAGCAGCTATAATGGCTGATATATACTTCTCCATTCGCGTCGGTGCGGAGACATGCAACGCCATTATGTGTCGGTGTAAGGGCTCTCAGACGGGCTCACAGAGGGTGACGGAGTCATGATCACAATTTTAAACATTCGTCCAAAGTGACGGAGACCGTAAGCTTGTGATTGGTCAGGACACCGCTTCTTGTATATTCGTCACCAGCACTGCTGTAGCTCCGATAAAAAGTAAACAAATATTTAGCAGCAGACCCAGAACAGATTGATGTGCGCATCACGGAAAACGTCCAAAAATATGAACATTTATTCACCCATGGGAGAAGGAGTACAGAATACGAAGCAAACGTGAACGGACATGACGGGAAACGTGGGTTTGGAGGTGGCGATCGCACGAAGAGGTGGTGGAGAATGAAGGAAAAATTTGTCTGTGTTATTAATGGGCCATTCCCATCTGTACTGGGTCGGCCCGGGCCGGGTAGCGTAGGTTGTTTACATATCTGGGTGGCCTGGTATTTTTCCGGGCCAACCAAGGCTCATTCTCAGCCCTCTTCTCGAGGGGGTCTGCTTCAGGCCGACCAGGGCCAACACACCCACTGCTGACAGCAAATTCACACCTTCCATTAGAGCAAGCCTCTGACTGGTGGGTAGAATCAGCCCACATGGGCTTAAGGCAAGGATGTGTGGAATCAACCGGGCCAGGCTGGGGCCGACTGGGGCTACCCGGCCCGGGCTGACCCGGTACAGATGGGAATGGCCCATAAGTCTCTGAAATATATAAATGTGTTTACATATTTGTAGTATATTTATATGTATTATATAGTAAATACACTATCGTGAACCAGATACATGAGTGTTATGGTGACAGGATACCACAGAAAAAACGCCACGCCCTCTGTTGTCCTGGCGGGTAATTGCTTTGCAACACTCCGCTGCCTGAACAGAAGTTCGAATGTGAAAACCTTCCCCACACTGTGTGTGTCTCTCTGTTGCGGAGCTCATGGACAAGCATAAACCAGGCTTATGACATGAGTTGGTGCTGTTAGCAAGCCTCAGCCCTCCCTGGTGGTGACTCCTAAACACACCTGAACTGAACTAGCTACACCAAACTCACTTCCTTCTAAGATGCTGCTACTCTGCTTCTAGAAGGCTGCAAATGTAACAGGTAATTTATCAACATAGTTAGCATAGAACTTGGCCTACAATCAAAACTTTCTCCCACATAGTCGTCTACATCCAGAGCAATGAGGACAGGGACAGCAGTAGCTCAGGAGGTAGAGTGGGTTGTCCAGTAATCGGAATCCCGGCTCCGACCAGAAAATGCTGTTGTTTTGTCCTTGGACAAGACACTTAACCCGCCTTGCCTGCTGGTGGTGATCGGAGGGATCGGTGGAGCCAGTGTTTGGCAGGCCTCGCTCTGTTAGTGTGGCCCAGGGCAGCTGCGGCTACAGTGGAGCTCAATCCCACCAGCGCGTGAATGGGTGAATGACTGATTTTGCTGTGAAGCGCCTTTTGGGGGGGGGGGGGGGGGGGGGTTGTAGAACCCTAAAATGGTGCTATACAAATACAGGCCATTTATCATTTAATAAAGATGTGTGGTTTAAACACAAAACTGTTAATTCAAATGTGGTTTGATCCCATCATTAGTTGAAATTCAGTTTTGTTCTCAATTTCTGTAAAGCAGAATGACCTAAATAGAGTTTTGGTGACACGAACCACAACAAAACAACTAGACAGAGAAGCAAAGTAGCAGCACACAGTCCTACACACAGAGAATGACGCACACATCTCAGGCTCTCACGCCATGCAACATGCTTCACAGTGAGAAAAGATAAAGCTCTGAGCACTAAACTGTCAAGGTGAATTTTGATCTGCTCAGTCGGAAAACTGAATTTCTTGGTGGGTGAAGTTTGTGCCCTTCAATAGCGTTTATACCCCGGCCCCCTGGGTTGGCGCTTCTTGACGTTTTAGCTGGCTGAATCACTTTCAGAAAACAGAAGTATTCTCCAGCGGTGGCTGGTGAACAATATTCTTGGTGCGACTATAGCTAATGTGGAAAAATATCCCTTCTTATTCCCTATTAAGTATTTAAATTAACACTTTTAAATGACGAATTAATTTGAAAACAATCATTAATTTCTCTTCTCCAAATTAGCAATTTTACAAATAGTCAAATTAAAAGTTTTTACAGATAAATTAGACAATACTCCAAAAACACACCAGCCTACTGTGTGAGCTTTTAAAAACAACTGCAGCCCATAATTTCTTTTGTTTTTATTTACATTTTACATTGCTCTTAGTTTGTTTTCCAGCTAAATTTTTCAGTCTCCAGCAGCTTGTATGTCACAAATAAACATCTGCTCAAAGCATGCACACCTCATAGCACAATGCTCAGCTCCACCACTAGGTGGCACTATCACTATCCTGTTTTTGTGTGTGTGTGTGTGTGTGTGTGTGTGTGTGTGTGTGTGTGTGTGTGTGTGTGTGTGTGTGTGTGTGTGTGTGTGTGTGTGTGTGTGTGTGTGAATGAGGAAGTGACAGAGAAAGGGAAAATGAGATCCAGCACCTTCTAGCATGCTGTTGCAGGGGTGCTGTTGGCCAGTGCCCCAGGGGCATTAAATTCACAGATGCTGATTGGCCTAAAATTCTGCAGTTCTCCCTAGCAACCAAGTGTAATTGGCTGTTTAGCAGCAGTTCAGGGTGCTTTTCCCAGCACCTCAGGAGTGAAACGAGTGTGTCTGGAGGAAATTCACTGTTTAATGAGAAACAGCTGTTGAAAATGATGTGTAAATTGTTCAGATGTCATATAGGCACACACTATTAAGCAAATCGGACACATTTATGGTAAATATATGAATATACAGTATATTGTAGTTTTATCTACTTTTTAGATAATTTTTGTCCCTTCAAATCATGAAGGACAGCACCCCAGCACCTCCTATGGATGGGCTACCACTGGTGTTTCTTCTATGGTGTTTGTGATCACTGCAGGACTAATGATGTACACCAGATAATCCACAGAAACCAAACTAAAGTAAAGAAAATGCTTTTAAATTGTACATGTCCACCTACATTCATAACTACAACAATTAGTAATAAGCTTCTGCTTTGGGTTATGAACGATTCAATTGTTGAGTAAGTGGTTTTGGAGATGGGGACAGACCGTGGCGTGGACTAGCTCAGAACCAGGACACAGAATCTTCTTCCTGTAGTTACTAGATCAAGCCAGCATTTTGTACCAACACATTTTTATTCTCCTCAGATTTTTCCTCCGTATAAAAAAAGCCACCAGCAAAAGCTACAAGTTAATACTGTATATAACAGGCTTAACTGTGGCAATCAGCTACAAACAGGAGGGATTTGGCGTAAAACCGAAACTAAATTTAGATTTGATTACAGCTAGGACTGGTTTAAACCTGCAGAGAAATGCTAACAGGGTTTCTGTGTCCACCATACCTGATTAAATACAAAGCTTTACACTAGTGTTGTAGTTACATCCATTTCAATGCAAATAATAATTTATTAGCTGCAGTTATTCTAGATTTCTATATTAGGCAAATGATCTAGTTTTAAGATTTTGTGTGCATTTACTCAGTTTCAGGATAAATGTTGAAGTACACCGGAAAAGAGCAAATAATTGCATACATTTGTGAGCAAAATTATTTTACTTAAAGCGCGAGTCATCCCCAAATTAACTTTTTCTTTTTGCTGATAAACTAAATAAATGAGTGTCTAATTGTGCCGTAGGCACGTGTAGTCAATAATTTGGCACTTTAGTGCATCTTAGTTAGAATTTTAAGATTCTACCTAAAACTGTCAGTGCTGTGCCATCGTCAGGTAAAAACTCTGCACTACATTTGAATTTAAATCTGCCATCGCTATTGGCTAAGAGGTGCACAATGATAACAGCTGGTACATTATGATGTCACAATGCTGTTGCGAGCCTGTTTGTGTGTATTTGTTAGTGGCTCCGCCCTCTCGGTCTGCCAGGCAACAGCATTTGTTGCATTTTTCAAACAGGAAGTGGGAGTGGAGTGAGTTTCTTGTAGGGGGTGACTTGCTCTTTAAATCCTGTTGTGGAACGCTTAGACCACAGCAGAGTTTCCCTTAACAGCAATGTTGTTCAGAATGGTTGGGTTTATGTTGTTTACTCACCTGATGATGTCCGTGACGACTATCGTTAGGGGGCGCTAGAGAAGCTGAGGTGGTTGTCATGGCGATGGTGGATACAGTGGTCTGTAGGTCACCAAAGAGACCCTGTTCACCAGAATCCATGACCTGTCAACAAATGTTGGTAGGTGAATTGATGTCAAGATGTTTGAGTCGTTAAAAGAACAGCCAAGTCCTAAAAACAAATCTCTTCGTGGTTTTCTACTGAATAAATAAATGCACCAGGGGTCTTCAATGAAATCGTTTCCAGTAGACACCGTGAGGGTCAGATGCTGTTCTAAAATTAAATTCAAGTATTGTAACTTAATTTATTAATATTTAAAATGGCTTAGTTTTCCATCTAAACTCTTTGATTGTAGATTTAATGGTGTTTGCAGAACCTAAATAATAATTGCTATTTGGGACATGATGTTTGCTGCTAAACTTCAAAGACCGTTAGGTCCCACAGGGCTTGGGGGCCAGGAGAAAAGGTCTGGCGGGCCGGATGTAGCCCGTGGACCGCCAGCTGAGGCTCACTGGCCTAAATAATTTTTTATGTTAAGTGTAAAACTTTTGTTGCAACATGTTATTTTGTGGGATTACATAAATAATTTGTTTCTAAACCTTTGCATGATCAGTAGACCAGTGCATTTTGAATTAAATTGGGGTTTTCTGCAAACACGATCACCTACAATGGAAATGATCAACGATGATGATCAAACTAGAAAGAAAAAGCAGGCTGAATTTGTCTCTATTAGCAGCAGGTTCCATGTGGAAATGAATTCCTGGTTTAATTACCTTTGTTAGTAGTTGTGTGTTGGGTTTCCACTTTTCTGTGGAAGACGAGTTAAAATAAAAAGAGAGCTCATAATAATCTAATTTAGCCTCTCAGTTGCTCAAACATATCCTGATGTTGATGGATGGCCTACATTAGTCAACCATCTTTTCTGTGTGTTTGTTCCATGATCAGAAGTTAAAGTCCCATTAGTCATCACACACTGGTCTCCACATTTGACCGTCCCCGTGGGGAGAGGGGAGCTGCAGTCATGCTCGGGAACTATTTGGTGGTTTAACCCCCCAACCCCTTTGGCATTGGGTCGCATTTTAAAAGTTTTTGGTATGACCCGACCAAGATTTCAACCCCGATCACCCAGTCCCAGGGTGGACACTCTGCCACTGAGAGTTGGCTTCATTGGGTTTTTTCTCGCCTTTCCAAGCATGAATTACTGCAGACAATCACATATTAGTCAACTTACTGAAATCCACCATTTTTGTAGTTTACTGTGACACCGTCCTCTCCTGGACTAATGAACCTTGACCAATGCAATCATTTGCCTGAGCTCTTCCAACAAGTTTCGACGGTGATGTGCCTTCCTTACATGATTCATTAAGGATATTAAGACACTGCAACCTCCAACTGTTGCACTCCATTTGTGTTTCTTTGTGACTGCTCTTCCATGCCAAGCTGCAGGAGAGCATTTATTTGCTAATCAGGGCATACGCCACCTGAGGTGTTAACACATGGTAAACATGTACACATTGGCTTGCTGTGATTCCAATTTTCATACATAAGTTATGTTTAGCAGACATTTGAAAGGCCATCTGTCTGTAGTGAAAGTATGCTCCCCAGGGAGATCGTCTTTCCATAGCATCTATCTTTTTCTTCCAAAGCTGCTGGACTTACAGCCGACTGTTGCCTTTAGGTCTTCATTCCACATTCTAATCTTGCTCACTACAGTTGTGCTTCATAGAGAGATTTTAAAGGATTTAGTAAATATACTCAAGTGCCTGAGCGAACCCATAAACATCTCTGAATGAAACAATGTTTGGCATATCTACCTACTGTTGAGTTACTATAGGAGTGTAAATTATACAGATATGGGTGTGCACCAAGGACTTAATCCAGCAATGTTTCATTTCTTACCAGAGATGACTCAGTTAAAAGCTATGCTATGGAGGTTTGGACAAATGTGTTGGCTGGTGACCATGAGCATCCTATTAGTCCTGCAACCTAGTCATAATTCAAATGAAGAATTTGTTCTTAATCATCACATAAGCCTTCCAGCTTTTTATCAGGCTTTCAGCCGGTTTAAAAGGAAATAATCTGCCACTGGAAAGGGCAGTGCTGTCTGAGGAGCTCATACAAACATCATACTATGTTCCAAGTGAATTCATTGTTCCTGTGGGCACTGCTTTCAATGTTATTCAAAAGTAAAAAAGTTAATGTGTCTTAAAGTGACAGTGTGTAGTTTCCTTGGTGATAGGGGGCAGTACAGCTAAATCACCCCCAGCAAGCATTATGTTTGTGTTCAAATAAGAACTTACCAGCGGATGGCTATTAGGGTCAAAAATCCCTGGGAGTGCAACCTCCAGCAAACTAACAAGAACATCAAATTCCCTTTCATTACTGGCAACGAGTAAAGAGGTAAATGTGTAAACAACAACGTTTATTAATAGTGAAAGTTTTGTGACCATATGTCACAAATCAGTGAATGCATTTTGTCCTCACAGACTTCCGTAGAAGAAAACATGACATCCAATATCCATCCCAAAAATTGTGGGCGACGGTGGCACAGGAGTTAAGTGCTCGCCCCGTAATCGGAAGGTTGCAGGTTTGAGCCCCGCTCAGTCTGTCGCTGTGGTTGTGTCCTTGGGCAAGACACTTAACCCACCTTGCCTGCTGGTGGTGGTCAGAGGGACCGGTGGCGCCAGTGCTCGGCAGCTTCGCCTCTGTCAGTGCGCCCCAGGGCAGCTGTGGCTACATTGTAGCTCATCCCCACCAGTGTGTGAATGTGTGTGTGAATGGGTGAATGACTGATTGCGTTGTAAAGCACCTTGGGGGGTTCCAGGACTCTAGAAGGCGCTATATCAAATACAGGCCATTTACCATTCATCAATTTACCAATATGGTGTCACCCAGAGACGTAGACCTGCTCCATGTGTTCTAGACCCCGTTTTTATGGTTATGTTATGATACCGCCAAATTTTTTCTACCATTGGGCATCTTTTCATTTATTTACTACAACATTTCAATGGATATTTCCAGAGATTAATGGTAAAAACTACACTTTGCTTCTTTGAGCTGGCCTGCCCGGAAGTGGACAGAAGAGGAAATGCAACCTTTCAGACAGATAAATCATCCAGCCATCCAGCTACTCTCCAGCTGTACTCCAAAGGCTGCAGTTTGTTGCTTTTTGATGTGGCCATTGGTTGCACATTGAACCATAATGGGTTCCATTAAAAAAAAGGCTCAGAAATTTAGTTAACAAGCCCCAAAATGTCCAGGAGAAACAATTTTGTCATGTCTAATGAAAAATGACTATTGAGATAAATCTGGGGTCACATCAGATCCATATTTAAAGAAGGCACATAAAATATCTTTTGTTTTGGGATTGATTTGCTACACTTGGCATGAAGGAATCAAGCTCGTGCAAGACACAATAAAGTCTCAAGACTACCAAGGTGTTCTAGTGTGAAACATATGGACCATTCCCATCTGTACCGGGTCAGCCCGGGCCGGGTAGCCCCAGTCGGCCCCAGCCTGGCCCGGTTGATTCCACACATCCTTGCCTTAAGCCCATGTGGGCTGATTCTACCCACCAATCAGAGGCTTGCTCTAATGGAAGGTGTGGATTTGCTGTCAGCAGTGGGTGTGTTGGCCCTGGTCGGCCTGAAGCAGACCCCCCCCGAGAAGAGGGCTGAGAATGAGCCTTGGTTGGCCCGGAAAAATACCAGGCCACCCAGATATGTAAACAACCTACGCTACCCGGCCCGGGCCGACCCGGTACAGATGGGAATGGCCCATTACTGACCAGTTTCAGAAAACTGGTCATGGTTTCTCCAATAGAGAAAGGAGTCAAAAGCAGCTCAGAACAGAAACCGAAGAGAAACAATGATGGAATTTTTCCTGAATGGCCCTCTATGAGCCGAAATCCTAATAATCCTAATCCTTTCAAACATCCCAACCTAAAACCTTGTGTTGATACAACGTTTCAAAAAGGAAGGAGAAGTTTGGTTTTTAGGAGTTGGCCAAACTACCTGTTGAACTGGTTGTAGAAATGCCTGATTATGGGGCTGATTATATATATTACTGTGTGGACGCCATCAACCCCCCCCCCCCCCCGAAGAATCTAGCGCTTCCCCAATAACAAACATGAATGAAACACGAAAGAGCCTCCAGGAAACAAGACAGAATTAGTGTACCGAAGCAACTCAAAAAGACAGAAAACAATCTGGAGGTTGAGCTCAAGCTTTGGTTGAAGAATATGAGATGTGTGGTCAAGGATGAAGAACAAACCACAGCATGTTTTTTTAATAGATTCAGTCCAGCATCCTGCTTTCTTACAGCCAGCTTCCCTGTAACGTCTCAACTGTTTTATCGACCACCTTGGTCATGGTTTCCTCTGCTGGAGAGACTAAACCAGAACAAGGCTGCAGGTCAGTGCTAAAGTCTTCAAGGCCCATCTCACCAGCTTTGTGAGCATCAGAGCCAGTGATTTATAAATGTTGAACAAGCTGATAAAGAGCAGAATGTCTTCTGTAATGGGACTTGTTGCACTACGAAGGGAACTGTTTACTTCAAACAGCCGTTGACTGATGCAAAGCAACCTCTGTGGGAGCAGAGGGTGTATTTTTGAATTTAATTGGTCCAGCTGTCTCTTACTGGCCATGATTGGTGCAAAAGTTGCTCTCCAAAAACACTATAGTAAGGGTACCAGCTCAAACAATGCGATACACATGTTGCACGAGCAAAGACAGAAAACTCCTGTAGACGCAGCACTCATGCAACATCATTTCAAGTTACGTTGTCTCCCCAGAACTTTATTGAACAAAGGTAAGTTACAAGTATTTTGTGTAAGAACCATGGCACACCACAATGCCAAATAGTTGTTGTAGTCTATTGTGATAACTAAGTTAACATAGTTATATTCTACTACAACTTGTGGGTTTACTGGTTTATGGTGTATGCAGGCGCTTCAGACAGTCAGACATTGAAAAGGTAGATTTTCAGGCTGGAGAATTAAAGCGGTATTTTGTGAACTGAACTTGCTCATATTTTGCCTGACAAACGCTAAAGTGAGTGTGCTCCTTCTGGAGTGTGTGAAAGGGTTTATGAACGGTGCTTTCGCATAGTTTGAGAGCTCCAGACCTCCATGGAGCTTAGCCAGAACATCCTGTTTACCATAGACTTTATTAAAAGTAGACCCAGCAAATGCCTTAGGCAGTAGCGGTCGGTGTGGCATCTACTCTTGACTTTTTATGCTGTTGAGGACGGACCTCTATAATGAACTAATTTGCACTAATTTGCATAAATGAAATGTTCATTTTGACAAATAAACATGTCGGAAGATATTTCTCCTTATTGTGTTTTTATTGTACGCACTACTGCTGTGTGTGTTTAAGTAATTATAAAAATATACTTTTGGTTTTTGGAGATTATGACAGAATTTTGATGCAAAACCTACAACAGTCGTGGCACCAGTGCTATAAGCGAAAAACGTTAACGTACAGCCCTGCATCTTCTCGTCAAGGAAATATTCTACTGGATCAAACATCAGATGCAAAGTGTGATTTGTGTTTAATATGGAATAAAAACAGATACCAGTAAACCTTTGTCCAGGGATAATTGGGTTCTTAGAGTTTAGGATGGAAAGACTTGTGTAAGAAAAGACTCCAGATTAGAGCTGTGTACCTGACGTCTGGACAATGTCTCTCTGCGTTTAGCGGGCATCTCATAGACCACCTGTTTCCAGAACTTTGAGGACAGCTCGTTGCTCTTAGGGCCCTTCCACTTGATGACAGATAATACCTTAACACAGGCGAAACAAAAGGTTTGTGGTTTTCTACAAATGCAATGCCCTTTTTTCCTTCTAAGGAAGACGTCTTCGGTTTACCTTGATTGTATGTTTAAGTGCTTCAACTTCTTGGTAGTTGATGACATTCTTTAAGTTTGCACACTCGATCATGATCACCTAGACAAGAGAAACAAAGAATCAACACTTTGGGCTGAACACTTTGTCAGTCCAGAATAGATTGTGTTTTTGCTACCTTAATCTCCCCAGTAACCAGCATGGAGTGGAGGCGGGTCTCTATTTGGAAGATGCTCCAGCCTCTTTTAGCAACAAACTCTGGAGTCAGAACAATGATCAAACGTCTGCTTTGCTCCACACTGCGAGCCAAGTCCTCAATGTAGGCTGAATGAGAGAGACACGGCACACGGAGAACGAACAGAAGAACCAAAATCAGACTCTTAAAGAGAAGGTTGTTGGTGTGACCCTCTCGTTTTGATCATGTGCACACAGCTTGGGTGTAATTGTTCACAGATTTGTAAACGTGTTTTTTCACAGCAGAAAATTCAGATCCTGTAGAAGTCCATGGATTCTGGATGCAATGAAGCTGCAGGGCAGAATTTGGTTAATATTGAAATATCTTTCTTGGATTGAGTGCAAAAGTGGAATAATGTGACCCGTAATCAGTGGTTTATGCAACAATGCATAAATAAATAAATAAATACATACATAAATAAATACATACATAAATAAATAAAACAGAAAAACTGATGTATTTTCGTCAGGTCATTAAGCTAGTTAAACTAGATTAAAAACATGTTAGGTGTTATTTGTTTATTGTTTATTAGGCATTTCTGTGATTATGCAGAGAAGCGCTGACATAAAGGTAATATTTTAGTTCAGAGGTCATCAAACTTTGTTTAACTGAGAGCTACTTCATGGGTACTGAGCCGTTCAAAGGGCTACCAGGTTGATACAGTACTGACCTTTGAACTAGAATTGATTAGAGTTAACTAATCTTTGTGCATAGTAAACATATTTTAATGCTTTTTTAAAGCAATTTATTTTCTTTTGAATCTATATCAAAGTGTTTGTGATTAACAAAACAGCAGTAGATTTTAAAATGTATTTATGTTAGACTTGTGCTTTCTAGATAAATGGCCTGAGGGCCCCTTATGTGGTTCCTGGGGGCACCAGGTTGGTGAGCCCTGTTCTAGTTAATAAAGTGAGGTTTTGTTCAGAACTCTATTTATGTGACAAATAGACATAAACAGGTTAATTTTAGTCTTTTTAGTCAGAATACGATTAGCCTAGTTTAGCAGGAATATAAAAAGAACAGAAAGAGTTACTAAAATTTACTGATGTTGGTAAGCACTTTGTATTGGTGAGATATAGGGCTAGGATGCAACCTGAAGTCCCATGGCCTCTCCCTGAAGCATTTGTTCAACATTTGCATAACGCTAACAATCTCTTTATTTACCCACACTGACACTTTTAAAATATTTCTCTGAGCTGTGTCCTTCCCCCTCACCATTGGTCTGTTCGATGAGGCTCTATATAAAAGATTGTATGAATTATTAATGCATGCACATAAGAGTTATTTATCCTCTCAAGACATATAAAGTTTGGTTAAAATTTGAACTTTTAAAACGCTGCTTCAGTAGCCTTACAGCCAGGCATTTGTTGTTAAAAAATAACACAAAACACAGATTTTTGCATTTGCAAAACCCGGAAAAGTAAAAATTCTCATTTAAAGAGTAGATAAAATACATTTAAATCTGAAATGCTGAATGAAACATAATTAATATCTGTTTGATTTTTATAGTTTTCATTCCAACAAATGACACTAAACATTACACAAAAAAAAACTGCTCAGATAATTTTTCCAGTTGACTCTTGTTATTGTATGCATGATGTAAATACATAGTAATTATTTCATACTGTGAACTTGTAATTTGTCATGTGACTTTACAGAACACCATGAATGAGTGAGGGAGTAGGTAGGAGATTTAGCAACGTGTCTTTATACCACAGTGGAGACAGAGGGAGACAATCTATGGAACTAGGATTGGGACAATATTACATTTAACTTGTAACATGTTTTGTAACTGTGACTTTTGTTTTGAAGCATGTAATTCATGTTTTGTAACACGTAACTTTCATTTTGTAACAGGTAACTTTGGCATGTAACATGAAACTTTTATTTAGTAACTTGCAGAAAAAAAATCAATGTACAAGTTTCAAATCACAACTTTTAAAACACAAATCTCAGTCTACAGTTACAAAACTCAAGTCTACAAGTACAAAACAGTTTGTCCCAATTCTAGCTTCCTTCCAAAAGGAATTGTCTTGGACCCAAGACTCATGATTGGCTGGTCAGACAAAGCCTGTCATTGGTTCTTTGAGAAGAAGCTAGAATTGAGACAAAATGTTTTGTACCTGTAGACTTGAGTTTTGTAACTGTAGACTGAAATGTGTGTTCTGAGAGTTGTGATTTGAAACTTGTACATTTATTGTTTTCTGCAAGTAACAAAATGAAAGTTACGTGTTACAAAATGAGAATTACAGGCTACAAAACGAAAGTTATAAAACATGTTAGAGGTTACAAAGCTTGGTACAAGTTACATGTAAAATTGTCCCAATCCTAGTTCCATAACTTTAAGACAGAGAGGAAATTATCTCTGTCTGGCCCCAAAACAGTTTCTGATCGGAATCTGGCGTCCTTGAGCCTGCAAGGCTCCAACGAAAACCCCCCTCAGAAGATATGTGGAATGTGCTGTCGCTATGGCAACTGAACTCTGTCTCCTATCCCAGCCTGGGCGGGACTGCAGGAAGGCCGCTGAAACGTTCCAGGGTCACTGCAACCCTCCAACCCTCAATGCTCCTCCCCCTATCCACACTGAGGTGACATGCGCTGCTTCTATCGTGGCTGCAGGAACTGAAGTAGGGATAGTCCCAACCCACCACCCCACCTAGTGGACACTTATGTTGTGTGATGTCTGAAGTCTGTTGCATATCTGTCTGAGGTGTTTGTTTGCAGAGGAAAGCTGCCCTCCTGGTGGAGGGTAAAGCCTGATTTATGCTTCTCCGTCTGCGTCAGTGCGGAGACACGCAACACCATTATCCGTCGTTGCGTAGGGCTCCGGCAGGCACGCAAGTACGTACGGAGTCGAGCCCACTTTTTTAAACATACGTCGAACGAGACGGATTACGCAAGCTTGTGATTGGTCAGGACGCTGCTGTTGTTTACAGCGCCGCCATTGCAAAGAGAGCCGAGGATAACTAGCGGCAGACACAGAGAAGCTTGAAGAATGCCTCGCAAAAAACTCTAAAAATATGAACGTTTTATCCTCCCGTGACTGGAGGAGTGAAAAGATGCACAGCAAGAGTTTTATTTGTGGACGGAAATGACAGGAAACGTGGGTTTAGAGGTGGGGAGCGCATGAAGCGGTGGGAGAATGAGAGACAAATATGTCTGTTGAGGGTCTGACCTCATGAGGAAATTACTATGCAGTGATTTTCTCCAAAATGACTGTGCTTAAATTGCTCTGAAAAGCAAATAATCACATCAGCGCCAAGAAACTTCATTTCCCATGATGCTTTGCACACGGAAGCATTGTGATGACGTCACCGCCTAGTACCAGAAACACGTTCTGCGCATGTGCGGGAAGCCGTGGAGCTTTTCCCGCGAACTAAGACCATAAATCTTCAGCAGAGACAAAGAAACCTTGTTCTTTTGCCCAGGATACCTGGCGGTAAGGACACGCTTATCGAACGCTCCGATTCCCTTGAGCACGCGGAAGCTCTAAGTGCCCAAGTTGAGGACACAGAACGGCGGAGGAAAGCAACAACTCCATCCAGCTCTCTGAGACGCTCTGATGTTTGAGGACACAGAACTGCGGAGGAAAGCAACAACTCCATCAAGCACGCTGTAAGTTATAACTCAGCACAGAAAGAAACTTCGCTGTCTCTGTCCAGCCCGTGGAGAAACACTCGTGAACGCCAAACAACGGAGAAAGCATCAAACCGACGGACGACGCCGAAAGCTGCGGAGAAACACGGAGAACCGTCAAATCAAAACAGTGAGGGACGCTTCACTGTTCTGGTGATCAGAAACTCATCTCTTTCTCTCATTCTTTCCTTCTCCCGTTTCCTATAGTCTCGAATAAGCAATAAACCGCGTCTATTGCTTAAAAAGTAGCTTCGTGCTTTCCTCTTTCGTCCCAAACACGCCAGTCGGGTCATTTTGAAAGAATAAACTGCTTATTGATCATTGTTTGGTATCTTTAAATGTTTTCTGCTTGGCCACGTGGTTAAACTAAAAGATATTAATTTGTGATTAATCTTTTGTGTTGTTTCATGATCTTTTGAAATGTTTTGAGTGATTTAAGGTTAAGTTACTACTGATTCTAAGTGCTTTGGAAGTTAAAGTGCAAGTTGCCACCCACACTTTAGCCAGACAAAGGGGTCAGCCATCTTGTATTCAAGACTCCATTTTGAATCCATACACACGCGCACACACACACACACTACTCCTTTGTGAGAACAAAGGACCCCATTTATACATCCTCCATCACATGCAAACACATCCATCTTCAATCATATCACACGGTTATTATTCATCTATTCCACTGTTTATTCATTTGACAAATTGTTAATTAAATGTTATAAAATTCAGATTTTTGTGTCCAGTAGCTTTGTTGTGTCGAAGAGAAGTCTCTGCTCCGAGGATTCTACGAACTTCAAGAAAGACTGATAAGAGTTTTGGATTCAATTTTTCCCCGGTAAAAGGGGAATGGTGCCCCGTATATCTAAGAATATCTTAATTAATTAATAAATCAGTAAATATTCCCATATTTACAGAATTTATTGAAGAATCCAAAAGTAAGTTGAAGCTTACTAATTGTTCGCTCCTAATAACCCCAACATTTTATTGGTGCAGCCCGCGTGAGGCTTGGATACACAGAGATTTCTATCCGACACAAACAAACAAATAAATCCAAAGAGCTTGAATTAAAAATAATCCGTTGTTCAGCCTTGAACCAGCAACAGAGTGGTGCTGATTTCGCTGAGCAGGAAGCTGCATCGAACTCTCACCAGTAACTCAGTGCTTCTTTAAAGGTGCAACGTGTAAATTAATTCTGGTTGACCTTTTAGGTTAAAAATTCAGTTTTTCCTTAAAGGTGCAACATGTAATTAATTCTGGCTAACCTTTTAGGTTAAAATTCAGCTTTTCCTTAAAGGTGCAATGTGTAATTAATTCTGACTAACCTTTTAGGTTAAAATTCAGTTTTTCCTTAAAGGTGCAACGTGTAATTAATTCTGGCTAACCTTTTAGGTTAAAATTCAGTTCCTCATTAAAGGTGCAGCGTGTAAGTAATTCTGACTAACCCTTTTAGGCTAAA